AACCCAAAAAAAGCCCATAAAGGAGGGCCCGCCGGAAAGGGGGCCTTTCCCGGGAAAACTTGAGTGGGCCAGGGTGCGCAGAAAGGGGGCAGTTGGGCCTTGAGGGAAACACAAAAAGGGTTAGGGGAGGTGGCCAGGGGGGACTTTTCCGGGGAAAATTTGGGGGGGGGGGGGGGCAAGCGGCAGCCCGTACGTGTTACAGCAGCGTGCTGATGTGCAGGCCGAAGTTGAGGATCGACAGCAGGATCGTCGGGACAAAGTGGTACCATGGGAAGTCAGTTACCCTGGCAGACGACACGGCAAGGCACGAGAGGCGGAGCAGGGAAAGGCGGGCAGCGTGATCTTGAGAGAAAGCCTGACGACGGCGGCGGGGTCGTTGTAACGCCTGGCATGCGTCCGATGTGTGGGTTGTATGGCGTGCAAGGCATAGACTTCACCCGAAATGGAGCGCCGGGACGAACTTGTATGAGCAGATACTCCAAAGAATCGAGGGACCAGAGAGATCGTTAAGAAAAGACGACACAACATTATAACACCTAGCCTAATTTCTCAAACGAGCTACGCTCATACGTTCGGAGCTTGGACAACACTAGGCTTGCGTCTCGCAACGAGCTGCGCTCATACTTCGGGATCTTGGACAACATCACCTACCTCCAGGCGGCGCCCCCAACGGTGAGAAGCGTATACATCATAGTCCAGACCAGCATCAGCTTGACGGAAGACTCGTACGCCTGCGAGGATGACCTGCGGGACAAGGATAATAAAAAAAAGGTCCACAAGGGGCCTCGGGTCAAATTCATTTTCGGCTTGAAGAATCCAGGAGTTGATTTATTTTGATGCTGCATCAAATTCTCTGCCCGGCGCCTTCCAGCCGCTGTACTGGTTCAGCTAACGCGAACTCAAGCTACCCCTCAAAGGTGCAATATGACATAATAAAAAAACAGATCCAGAAGAATCAGCACAAAAGCGAAAAGGATTGTAACCCCGAAATAAGCAGCCCCACTTATGAAAATACATACATTGAACAACGCGCTGCGGCCCTCTCCTTTCTCCCCTGGGCTGAATCTACAACCAAGACTCGGTCTGGCCCTCCGGAAAGCGAGCAATGAGATACGAAGATGTTTAGCAAGCACATCTTCGCTGTCCCCCCGTGGCATGAGTGGATCACCTGAAACGAGACGCTAAATGACACCGCGAAACCATCAACACATACACGCCACCACATATATCAGCACTATGCCATGTATCAACGAAAAACAGAGAATGACACGATCCATCATAACACACCTGGAGGAGGCTCCTCCGCCGGTGGGAACCCAGGGAATGGTCGTGTTCATGATCTTGTCCTTCAAAGCATACAGGTGAGAATAACTAGTGTGTCGGGGGGGGGGGGGGAGAACAACGAGGTGGGGGAAAGGTGAGCGAACCGAGTGTCAAAGCAGTTTGGCTTACGGATACAAAACCGTTGAGAACACGTCTTCGCCGAGAGACGGTTAATTTGGTTTGCGACAACTCTTTACGGGTGAACGCCGGGTCACACTTGGGGATAGCAATGACGGCCGTTTGGACAGTGGCGGCTCGAGGGGACACGGATCCGACACACAGTGAGCGCCACGGCGCGGCACAACCGGCCGTACCCCAACCGATAACATTCATCGACGGGTGCACTCTGAAGCCTCCAGCCGAATCCTGCCACTTTTCCCCGGCGATTCCGTGCACGCCACGGCCTAGCTGGCTCTCTTTTGTGCGGCTTGGCCGTGTTTCATTGTTGAGTGTTCGATTCACCCCATCAAACGAAAAAACTACATCTCCGCAGGATGAGTGCGAATTCGTCGTTCAAATGATGACGACACGCGAAAAAATAGTCGCTATTATTCTCAGTCAATCATTTCAACATGCATGGGGTGTTGATCTCTCTCTCTCTCCACGGGGCATACCAGCTACCGCACGTGACACGAATCGTACACCCGAGACGCCGCACGTGACTATATATGACAGCGAGAACAACTCTGCATTGACGCCAGGTTGTGTTCAACGTCTGCCGTCCACCAGGGAAAGAACGCACTCCCGTCCGGTGCCGGGTCGGGAGGGAGAAAAGATCGACGCCAAAACACCAAAACAAGTTTTGAGGGAAGACTACGTCACTTCGTTCCGCCTAGTCAGCCACAAACCCCTCGTGAAAGAAGAACGCCAAGGGCAAGCGTACCCCTTCCCCCCGCCCGGTGCACGCCTTCCTCTACCCCAGGAAATAACAACGGCGGGTTGCTCACCTTTGGATGACCTTCACTCGCTGGCAGCAGAAGTCGTACGGCTGCTTCGCCCAGAAACGCATGCCGACGTACCCGAAGAGGATAGAAGGCACGGCGAAGGAGATGTTGAACCAAAGGACGGCTTCCGGCTTGAACCAGATAAGCAGCATCCCCGGCAGGGGCCCAGTGAAGATCGTCTGGTTTTGATCGCGTCAGGGGGGACGTCCGACGTCGTTGTTTTGGTTGCCTTTGTTGATGTCTTTACTTCACCTTCGAAATACACATTCTGAAAATCTAGCCAATACCCTCTTTGGCTTTCTCGCGCGATATCATCAGCAACGTCAGTCGCGGCAATCGTTGTTTCATCGGTGGTGGGGACGAACGACACTTGTACGGCACCAAATCCACCACCAGCGAAAAAAACGCTCAGGACAAACATGAACTTGTGTCGCTGTCTCAGCTATGTAAATTTGCGCAGTGAACCCTAAATGTTCCATGATTGGGGAATGCAAGTTGGACTGAAAAAGCGGTCAGGACTTCTTACAGACAACACGGTCTTGTGAAAACTTCCAAGAAGCAAAGGGCATTTTTCGAAAAGGAAAATAGACATGTCATGCGTTCTGCATCCCTTATTAACTCTCTCACAATCGCCGTGGCCGAGTAGTAGAACATCCCGCTGAGGTAGCAAAGCTTTTGCTTCCTGGTCAGGGTGGACTGCCAGAACTCCCGGTTGGACAGGAGGGTGGTGCTTCCCATGCACCAGCGGTACTGCTGCATGAAGAAGGCCCGCGGCTCGTCGGGACACGTCCCCATCGCCATCACCTGCGGCACGTACTTCACCTGAAGGGTCCAGAGTCGTTCAGAGCGGCGGAAAAGAACACGAACAAGTAAGGGGTGACCAATGAGCTTTGGTGGTGGAGGGTGTGCCTCTTTCGTCGGGTCCAGCCCGTGCCCATTCACTGTGACGCAAACCCCGATATCTGCAGGGACGTTACCCGCAATCCATGCACCTCGAGACACCAAGGAAAGACGTACCTGGTACATGCTTTAAAACGACAGAGAAAGGCAGAAACTCTTGCCCGAGCAGGCGGTTGCTCTTGCGAAGGAACCGATCAAAGTACTGTTGTGCCCTCGAAAATCTGCTGCAAAATAGTACATGTTACTCGGGAAAGTCGAAAATAGTTAGCAACGATTCCCTCCACCAGCCATCAGCAAACGCCGAAAATAGCCAAAGACGGGCGTTTGTCGACAAATCACATCGAACGGGTGGCATGTCCAGGGGGAAGCTCAAGAGAGCAAACCCAAGCTTTCCTACGCAGCGATGGTTTGCGCTGTGAGGTGGCCGCTATTAGTGGTTGTCATCTGTGCGATGATGAACAAGAACAGTACGGAGGACCTGCGTGCGATGACTAGGAGCGGCCAATCGTGGGATTTTGCAGCACGCCACTGATGTACAGCAGTGGTGTTGATGTTGCTCATTTTCACGTCGATGGTGTTGTTCCTGTTGTTGTCGTCGACATTCCATCGTGAACTCCATCAAACAAGTCTAATCCGAGCCCCCCCCTATGCCCGACCCCAAAGACAGCGTATTTTCCAGGATCCATTCGCAAGCCACAGACTAGCCATTCTGGTCCGGCAAAGACACCCACGTGCTGCGCGGTCTGACTACATAGCCCGACACGCATGTTCAGGCGTCGCGCACCTTGTAGCCGAGCTGAATGCAGTTGAAGCCGGTGTGCACATCCTCCGAATACCCGATAGCCGCGGTCCCGCCGAAGGGCGCGAGCGCCTCGCGCCGGTACACGCCGCACGTGCCCACGCAGATCGACGCGTCGAACTTGTTCCGATTAACCTGAGGTCGATCGCAACAACACCGGGCACCGTTTTGTTTCGTGGTCTCCCTCGCAGCTTCGGGATATGTAGAGGTGCTTTGGGCAGTACTATTACGCGTGTTTCCTACCTTTCACAAAAAGATGCTTTCGGCCTCGTACCCTGAGATCGGAGCTCCCGACGTCGTTCAGTGGAGTGTTGACACATGGTTAACGATAGACACAGTTCTTCCAAGCAAGGAGGGTGGAGACGGGGGGACCGCCGATCGTCGAGGCGTGCAAGCACAGTCAAGGTATTTGTGTACGGTACCTGGTACAGCTACAACCCTCTGTTTTCTGCGCTCACCTATTGGCCGTGGTGGCGCAACACGATTATTGTAAAACATGTTCTTGCTTTCATAGCGAAGCATCGGGCGCACGTATTGAGAGAAGCCCAAACACACCAAAACAGTTAAAACCAGAAACGGCTTTACCCAATACACAACATGAACGGCCAAACCAACGGAGGTGTGATTTCCTACACCACTACACATAGCATGATTAGACAGCGAAGAGAATAGCACATACATCCATGTCCTTTACAGTCTTGCCCAAGCTCAGGCAAGCGTTGAAACAGCACACACGACCCCCGCGAAGTTCGCATATTACCTGCACCATTCGGTAGAAGAGCTCCTGCGTCACGCCCGCGCCCTTCTCGACCCACGTCTGCTCCTCGCGGTACCGGAAGAACTGCGGCGTCTGCAGGATGGCCACGTCTCTGTCCTTGAAGTACGGCGTGGTTTCCTTCAAGAACTCGGGCCTGGGATTATTTTGAACAGTAGTTGAAGAATATCGTTTAATCATTACCGGAGGTGGGGCACAGATTCATGACATTTCCTCGCGATCGATCGATAAGAACACCGTCAAACATGAAAGAAAAAAAATCCGACAGGGAGGGAGATCGGCAAAATCAAGATCACAGTGTTCAACCGTTCCACTGGGCACAGCAGTGCCAAATAGTCATAGAATAGCCGTCGACTGTCTTCGTATGAAGTAGCCCGTAACGTTGAATTTACACGTCAAAGCGTTTGGCATTCCTTCATCATGAAACCTGATGGCTGGGCGCGATAAGAGGTTCAAGACCGACAACCTCTGTGTCGTGCTGGCGGCACGCGACCAACACCAACACCACCAACACAACTACAGTACACCGGCCTCGAACACCAACCGCAACATCCGACAACGGCAACGACCACGGCCACCAACACGGCGGAAGAATACCGCCACAACAACGACAGCATCAACGGCAACCACGGCAACAGCATCGACACAACCACGACTTCCCGCCAACAGGAATACTCATAAGATGGCTACCTGGGGCAGAAGTCGGCGTCGAAGATGACCAAGACCTCGCCGGAAGTGCGAGCGAAGGCGTACCGAAGGTTGCCAGCCTTCTTCAGCTCCGGGATGTTGGTCCGCCGAATGTCTGCGGTTTCAGTTTCGAGCGTGTTTTGCGAGGCGTGCATCGTCTGTACGTTGTACGACGCGATCGCACGTATTTTTCGCGTTCGGAAGCTCGCCGCTGTCGGTCGTGTTGATGTTCTCACGCATTGGTTGCGAACACCCATCGCGTGTGCATGCATGCCACCGCCACGGACAACAGGGGTGCAGAAAACGAAAAAACACAACGACAAATGGTCCACGAGGCCAACCAAAGGATCACATCCCAAAGAACCCAATCCAAGACTCGTCGCCTCGTGCAAACGGCTTGGCGGTGTAAGACGGCTCCCGCTTGCATGACGTTCACCTGTGAACCTACTCCGGCGCAGAGCGACCCGCTCGCATTCCCACCAAGCCAACCACTCTGGTTGCTCTCGGTGAGCCTTCGTCGCGCCAAACGGGGACGCTCTTAGTAAAGAAGAACACACACACGCAAACGAACGCCCGCCTCACATTGAAACCCGTGCATCTCCGCAAGCTGGCGAACCTCCTCCTTCGCCCCGTCGTCCAGCACGTGCACGGTCACGTTGGGGTAGTCCAGGGCCCGCACGTACTTCCAGGTGTTGTCGAGCAGGTGGGTGGGCTCCCGGCAGACCGGCAGGAAGATGTCGACGGACGGGTAGTAGTGCTCGTGCTGCGCCTTGCGGATCCTCGCGGCGTGGTCCTCCGGGTCGAAGTCTTTGCCCCACACGGCCACCCCGAAATCTGTTTGTTGTTTCAAGCATAAATTTTTAGGTTGGCGGTATTTCGGGGGGGGGGGGGGGGGTAAGCTTTCGTGTTCATAGCTGCCCGTTGGTGGTGTGTGGTATGTTGACATGGATCACGTGAAATGTTCGATCCGTTGGCAACACATGATCGAACGTAGTAAATGGCTATCGAGCGCGTTCCACGGCGCTCGTGCTTGCTACCGCAGAAAACGTATGCTTTCGTGCTACGCTCTCATCAATATTCGGTGTTGTCCTCTCTTTGCCTCTCGACGTGTCCCCTCCCTATTCCGGACGTTTCGAGGCGGGGATCAATACCGCACGACTGCCGGGAATCGGTCCACTACTTAGGCCGGTCCACAACCAGCGGTGTCTCAAGATGAAAGGTGGCCAGTCGAGGCTGCCACCGCCCACTCAGGGAAGAGAAAACAAAGAAAACCATCGTGACGATGCTGCACAGTATATTGAACGGGAACATGTGGCGGGTGACAAACAAATGTTCAACTCGTGGATGGATGACCATAGTCTCGTGCCCGAGAACAGTGCACGCATGCAATTTTCCGGCAGCATCGGCCGTGCGAAACTCAACGACCAACAACAATGCGCCCGTCGCTGGACGCGGAGCTCTCTCCATGCGTTCCGTGTTTAGGCAAACTCGGACGGGGATGTAGCACCCCGACATGCATGCGTAGCGCAAAGCGTAAAGCAGTGGTTGACCGGTACGTAAGAGGGGGGGTAGTGGAAAGCATAAGGTAGCAACATCGACAGGGATAGCGTGGGACCGCTGACCCTTGACCAAACTCACAAGAGAGCAAGAGGTACCCCATGATGAAGGCCGTCGGGGCCGCAAACCAGTAGAAGAAGGGGGCCGCAAACGTGAAGAGCCACATGCCCGCCGACAGAGCGCCTACCGAAACGACGCCAGCAGTCACAAGGAAACACCTGCCGGTCTTGTGGTAGATTTCCTGTTCATTGTCAATTCAGACCACGAGAGAGAAGAGAGAGATACAGAGACAGAGCGTGCGGGAGAGACAGAGAGAGACAGACAGAGACAGAGACAGAGACAGAGACATAGGGAAACACAAAGCGAGACACAAAGCGAGACACAAAGCGAGACAGAGAGACAAAGAGACGCAGAGACGCAGAGGCAGAGAGAGAGAGAAAGAGAGAGAAAGAGAGAGAGGTGGAGGAAAGGGAGATAGACATACGGTGAGTGGCGCACGTCCCATTGCTTTCAGAGATCGTTATACATGTTTTTCTGCCCTCTACCCAACAAATCGGCAACATGCGTGCCAACCCTCGTGTTCATGCAATGTTTTCCCGCATCACTGTCAAACAGCCAAACGACAAGCAAAAGAGAGAGAAAAGCGCAACGGAACAAACGGTTGGGGGAAGTTGCGGTGTTTTGTCGCTAGCGTCTCCGCAAGAACGAGCAGGGGCCAACCGGGGAGGCTTGCCACCACAGAAATCTGGCAGCACGCAACTATTTTTTGGCTCACCCCAAAGTTCGTGAGGCTATGAGACATTTGGAAGGTTTACGGCTAACCCCGGTCAACTCTCGTCGAGTGGTTTACCCTCCTCAAGCGAGATACCTAGTCTGCTATTCTGCACGTCGCATGGGAAGTCTGGATTCCCCGACAGGTCCGCAGGGAGCCACATACAGGGTCCGAACGGCGGCGAGTTGAGACACGCCGCTCGTTGCCCGCGCGACCGACGGCGACAGCAGTCACTTGTGGTTTAGGTGTTTTTTGCGGCGGCGTGCTTGGAGCGGCCGCTGTGAGACACAGGCAACCCGCTCAAGAGGAAACAAGAGCATCAACCTTGGAAATCTCTTGGCCCCACGAACCACTTCCTCTCGCAAAGAACGAGTCTGCGTCGCCCCCGTGAGCGTACGTACAGACTGCCGCTGACTACGAACACATTGGAAGACGTCTGCATGCAGGCGGCGGTAGCAGCACTAGCTGCAGCAGCTCGCACGCGGCAGCGCAGCAGCAGAGGTGCGACGTCGGCTTGAAACGAACGCAACAATACCATTTGTTCTTGTGTGCTGGAGCAGCTTGTGGGAACCATGCGGCTTCAGATTGACCTACCTTTTCTTCGTCCGAGGGAGCGCACGGCAGCACGAGCCCCTGCTCCAGCACCCCCCTGTTCTCGTCCTCTATCCCGGCCATGACGGCGCTCCTCGTGCGGGACTCCGACTCGAGCATGCGCCGCCAGAGCTTGGCCCGCCCGAACGCCTCCGTGAGGCGGTGGGACGCCCCGCTCCTGCTCCTGTACGAGGACCGCCTCCTCGTGGGATGAAGCACGCCGCTCTCCTCCGACCCTTCCCGGACGGACCTCATGCTCCATATGTGGCCAGACGAAGCTGCGGCCGACGAAGCCGCAGCCGACGTCGACCTTTCCCTGCCGGGCCGCCCTCCGTCGTCACCCCCGCCGTCCGCGGTCACGCCGCCGCCGCCGACGCCGCCGACGGTGCCATTTTCGACGTCCTTGTCGCCGTCACCCTCCCGGACCGCCGCGCTGGATGGGACTCTCGTCCCCGGTCGCACCCCCGCCGCCGAAGGCGGCACGGCGCCGCCGTACCTGTTGCCGACGGCGCTTGCGGGAGACGGGGACACCATTGGAGGCGGCGACACCGAAGTGGGAGATTTTCGCTCGCCCTCTTTGACCTTGCCGGCTCCGCCTCCTGGTGGAGATCGTGCGTCTCCCGCCGGTCGGGGAGAGGCCGCAGCGAGTCCACCGCCTTCGAATGGGGCGGCCGCTCCCCGAGGCACCGGCGGCGGCCACAGCGGCGTTGTCACCATCCTCCCCGCCGAGAACAACGCGGAGGGCGTGGTCGAACTGGACACTGGCTCTACGCCCTCCACGTCGATCTTGCTGGACTCGTCGCTAGCTTCGCCGCCGCCGCCTTCGCTCCCGCTGCCACGGGACGCCCTCCTGGCCGCTGTCACAGCCATCGCTGCCGTCGTTCCGTCGAGCGAGAAGGGGCTACCGGACCTCGAGGACGCGGCCGACAGCGAGTATTGCAGGGAACTCCCGCCGCTGCCCGCCCTCTCCAGGCTCCTTTTTACGCTCCTGCGCCGTTCTTCTTCGGGTGCCACGGCCACCGCCACCTCTGGAAGCGTCGCGCCGGTCTGCGGCCCCGCCTCCCGACGCGGCGGCGGCGAGTCCAGCAGCTGCGACAGCTGCTGCAGCTGGGCGACGAGGTATTCCTGGACCGTCGATCCCTGAGACCAGAACGCCTCCCGCTCAGCACCACCGACGCCGGGAGGGCCAGCGGGCGAAGGAGCGGCGCGGACTCCAGGGCCACCGGCGCCGCCGCCTCCTGCGGCCGAACCAGCGGCCAAGGTGGTCGTTGCCGCCGCCCCGGCGCCCCGCTCTCCCCCGGGCGACTGCAGGATTCCCCCCGGCGTTGGTGCCGAACCAAGGCGAGGGGGCGTGGTGGTTGCATTCAAAGTGACTGCCGCGGCGGCAGCGGCGGCAGCTCTCTCGTTGGGCGAAGCAGCGCCTCCAGAGTGGGACAAGGGCCGAGAGGAGCTCCCAGAAGCCTCGGTGTTGCTCGCTGTGGATGGCGTCGATCGGAGCTGCCGATAGAGGTGCGAGGCGGGGGACTGAAGCAAGAACACGGGTGGCGCGCTGCCCGTGTGCGGGTTGTTGTCTCCTCCTCCTGCTCCTCCTCCTCCTCCTCCCCCGGCTGCTCTGTCTCCCCACCACCCCGCTTCCTGTCCCACTGCAGGGGACGACGGGATGCTGCTGACGGCCCTCGCAAGGTGCTTGAGCTGCTCGGCCACGAAGGCGTTCCTCGTGAACGTCGCCGGCGACTCTTGCTGCCCGCTGGTGCTGGCGCCGGCAGCGCCATCGCCGCTATCGACACCGCCAACGCCCCCACCGCTGCCGCCGCCATTGCTGCCAGGCTGCACGAGAAGAAGGGGGTTGGCAGACGAAAGAGGACGGTTTACGGCAGGTTTCGAAACAACACAATGTCGTCGAGAGCTTCGAGTCACTATTGCGTAAGACAAGGGTAGAAAAGCAAAGCAGCGTGTGAAAAGAGGCAGGTGGGCCTTCAACCTGAACGTTCGCCACTATTGGTTTATGCACACATGCGGGCTTGACAGCGACGACGGTCGTATGCGTTGTGGTGCAGGGGTTCTTCACAGGGCGCACAAAAACATACATGTTCAAGTTCGTATATTTGTATATTTGAGTTTTTCCAGGCCCAGTATCCTACCTGCCAGGTTCTTAGGTTAACTGTACACGCTCCGGCAAAGCTGTTCAGCATAAAATTGTACAACGCACGCGCAACAAACACATCACGACGCCCCGGTTCTCCGCAGCCCATTCGTCTTGTTCCTGATCAAAATATCGTAAAGTGACACCCAGAACACAGGGCTGACAGCACAGTTCATTCAACTATGTAGCTGGAATACTTTTGTAGGACAGGGACCGAACTTTATTAGTTTGGTCCACCCGTTAGCGCCCGTGCCACTGTAGGAGTGCTTGATTGCCACCGTACTGTAGCCTGATCTGGCTAGAGATAAACAACAACGGGATATTCAGCGCCGGTTCAACGGTAACCGAACAAGGAAACGCCTTCCGAATCTTTCAAAACTGGATCTGTTTTGTGGCTTTGTGGCTGCATAGTGTACACTACATAGTGTAGGCGTTTTACAACCATCCAGTCGGTGCTCTGCAGGTGTTGGGGGCAGTACATATATGTATTGCAATTCTCCAAGGTACACGGTATGTTATCGTACGTAGTGTCACAGCAGCAGTAGAGATAGGCCCCGAAAAAAACAAGGAGAGAAACATTTCGTTACAGGGCGCTATTCTTTGTTACCCGGCCAATCAAGGCCAATCGGTGAATGTAATAACGTAATAACCCGCTGAGAAAGCCCCCCCTTTTCTTTTTTTTTTCTTAATATGACACAACGAATCCATCTCTATCATAGAAAAGAGTCTGAGACAGATTAGCAATGAATTCATAGCGCCAGAAAGTACCTGTGTCTACGGTTTCCCAGACAGCATATAGGGACATCTCCCCTGCGGGTAACAGGCTCAACAAGACAGTTTGGTAGCTGTCTTGCGTGTTTCATATATGTTATGTTGGGAAGGTGCAGACGAAATGTGTTAGGTACTGGTCGGGCGTTTTGTGTGTGGCACCCTTTTAGTCGTAGGGCATGCAATCTCCCTCAGTTTTCAAACGTATTTTCAATGTGGACGCGTATGTATGTACCCCTTTGAAATACAACTAACTTCGTTCCTGCTGTTGAGAACGGTCACCGTGCGGGGTTTCGAAACCCTCCAGTGAACCGTTTTCTTTTTTCCAAAATGCATACACTCCACAAAACGGATGCCAGCGCTGACTTGCCGGATGGTCTAATTTTACCGATTACGGTCGAACAGCGGGCGGTGAAATACGAAAAATCAGGCGGAAATATGGGTTTTCCGGCCAATCACCTAGCCGAAGCCCACCCCTGACCTTTACCTAACACACACGCGATGACCTCTACCGCAGATCGCCCCTTCGTCTCACACGAGCAGCTGCAGTGTGCACTCTTCTTATTGCTTGTTGCTGCTGCTGCTGAAGTTGTACTCCAATACGTCATCACCACCACCGTGCTCATCCAATCTCCCGATGAAACTTCCCGGCAATTTCTTGCCTACCGCGCCACTGCTGTACGATTCAATCCCACGCCACAAACCCCAGATTTCCTTCGTTCAATCTTACACGTGACTCGCACCCTGTGTGGGAAAATCCTCCGGACTCGATTTGCCGGACTCCGCGCAACCGCGTGTTGTTTTATTAGGAAAAATGAATGCACACACAGAGAGTTGTACCCGTACCCCCATACGGAACCCCTGCAAACATCTATTTTCGTTCTTCGTTTTGGGGCGCCCCGTGCTAGATCTAGACATGGACACGGTTTGGACGCTCTACCATCATCTGCATGTCGTCGCTGTGCGCTCCATCTACGGTACCAACAAAATTCCCTTCTCTCACTGTTTTTAGCATCGGGCGCATGTAGCAAGCAGCTGCTTGTAGATCGGAGCGTAGATCTCTTCCTCGGGTTTGTTCCGCCGATCTCTTCGTACTTCGGGTGCTTCTTCGATTTTGCCTCTTCCACATGAGTTACAGCGTAGATGTTGTACACTCTACCCGATGAGCAAACACTACTCCTCTACCCCCACCGGTGGTGTGAAATTCCCAGACTGATCCCTCCCCCGTGACCCGTGTGTGATGCGAATGGGACGCTCGGTTGGCCAAGAATTAGTCTACAGTCTACTGCTGCTGCTGTGCTCGATGTGCGTCCCGTGACAGATATTCCCTTCGGCAGGCGGACGAACCTCCTCCCCGCCCCCAGATATTTGTCGAAATTCGTTCTTGCACACCATACAATAGACTACAGCAGTTCGGAGTTCGGAGTACATGTCGAAAGCCGAGCTGGATGCTCTGGCCGAGGCGAGTCTCGGCTGTCGTGCTGTCGTTACCTGGAATAACGGGACAGTTTCTGATACTCGGATGCTGGGAGAGGGCCGGCCAGCCACGGCCGTGGATGTTGCACGCGCTGCGCATCTTGACAACACTCACATGAGCAGCAAACAAAGCGTATTACTTTGTGTGTCTTTTACTTTGCCAGCGGCACATCTCGGTCATCATCTTTTAATCTACATGCATACACCTGTTCGTTCACACTGCGGCTTCCTGCTGTGCAAAAATCTGCACCGAGATTGCCCATTTATCGATTTTATCATGTCCGCCACGACGTTCGCTAAGGTATGTTCCATCCCCAATGTTTTCTTCGTGCGCGTTTGGATCGCTGCTTGGATCCAAAGCTCATGCTGGGTCCCTGTAAAGCCGCAAAGCATGTGTATGTGCTTGGTTGGGTAGGACACACACACCCGCATGGCCGGCGAATGGGAACAATGGTCGTGGGGCTTTAAAAGAAAGATGTGACAAGAGTGTGTGAGAGAACTTGAGAGACTGCATATTGGTATGTTCGTAGCACAGTATCTACATGTAGGACAGCCAATATTGCGAGGTCTGGGGTAAGTCTAGACTATACCCAGCAGCTGCAGTCGCAAGTGTAAAAAATGTGCGGACTCCACCCGTGTTGAGAAACACGCGCAATGTCCATCAAACCACCACAGGGCAAATGCGTGAAGCAAGCAATATACTACAGAAAGATGAAGTTTTGCCGCATCCTCGGCCATGGTGATGATTTTCAGTCTTGTCTAAATACATCCTCTGCACCATACTCACCTCTCCGGGATGGGGGGGTTCCTCGCGTGGGAGTCCTACCGCGGGAACCGGCACCCCTCTTTCTCGAGCTTCCTCGGACTCGTCTTCCCCGAGCGGCGTCACACGGCGCCTTGCTTGCCTCTCCCGACCAAGGCTGTGCGATTTGATGCGGAGCTTGTCGCTGTTGCGGCGGCCGGTAGTTGCCCTTGCCTCCGCTACCTCGCCGTCACTACCGAGCGGCACCACGCGCCGGTTAGCTTGATCCTGGGTCTTCCGCTCTGCCATCTGGCACCACTTGCCTCCTCAAAGTCCTGCGAGGACACCTTCGGAGATGCCCTGAGAAGGGCTGGGTGCAGTTGGTGCTTGTGCTGTCGTGCTGTCGTGCTGTCGTGCCCTATGCATACTTCCCCCAACAAGCTGCGCCCAAGATTTCTTGCAAGATATCACACGCCAGGCCTCCGCCGTGCGGTTCAAAGATCCAGGATGTACATACATTACCGACGTACAGACGCGGACGTGTTACCCACGTGGATACTCTCATACATATCTCCACTGCTGTTTGGTGTTGAAGCAGTCGGTCGATCGGCGCCTGCGTGGACTCTAGACTCGCCCTGGCCTTCGCAATCTCTGTTGTGGGTACCTGGTTCCACTGCTGTCTTTTGAATACGGTGCACATCCGGCCGCGGTGAACAAGCGCACCATGTCGGCCCTTGACGTTCACGATGCACACCATGTGTGCACACAACTTTCCAACGGTTCGATAACTTCTGCTACGGTGCGGTACGCAGAATCAATCGTCGGAGATTCCCCTCCTCCCTGTCCGGGGTGGTTGTGTGTATGATGAAACCCGTGACCCAGATGTATGTATGTCTGTGCTACTGCTACATAGTAGTGTGTGTTCGTGTGACTCGTGACGTTGTGTTTGCCAGATGCTGTACTCTGTACACAAGACCAATGTGCGTGTGTGTGCGACCTGTGACATTCGCCTTGCACATTATAAGTCTACATACTCGTGGAGGTCTACGCAAAAGGGAAAAAGCTACCATTTATATTCTGGCGATCGGATCCTTTTTGAAAAGAAGAAGTTTGATCTCGATCTTTAATCTCGATCAAAGGGCAATGAATGGCTCCAGCGTATGTTCTGTGTCCCGACCCGGACCGTGGGCCGCTATAAGGCTCATCCCGCATACGAACGAATTCTCACATCGCCGGTGGCCATTCCCCAAAGAGCGAAACTCCAATTGAAGTCACTGGCGCGATGCAACGTGTGTTGCTCGACTTACCGACACGCAATCAAATCTACTGTTCTTCCTGAGCCTTTGCTTATCTACAACTTCTAGATGCGCGACTCGGTTTTTCCGTTCCTATGCTAAGGGACAACCAACTTCTTGTCGCGCGCCTTCACCTCCCGCGGGGGCAGGTTTGATAGGTTTTGCGTTAACAAACGTTCACACTCATTTTACACCCCCACAATCTTTTTTATGGTGAGACAAGTTCGAGCCCTTCTCTTCTGGAAGAACAGAACAATTGCGCTCAAAGTATTACGCATGCACCGACCGGCAATAATAGAGCGAACGGGAAATATGCGCGTTTCCTTGCGTGCGCACTCAACTTACGCCTTACGCCAAGGTTTACGCACGCACCTGCAATAGAAAATGGGAACGGCGGCACGCAGTTTTCTGGTGGTGTCACACAATTCGTTTACTCCAACCCAACTCGCGGTCATGATGATGACTTTGCTGCAAATAATGGGCGATGGCTCGGGCGTGTGCATGCCCTGTATCTCGACCGTGGGCCACAAAGGCCCATCCCGCGTACGACTCAATTCTCACGCCGCCGGGGCCCAGTCCTCGAAGATCTTTTTGAATAAAACTCCAAAAATCCCTGGTATGATACACTACGTAACGTGTGTTGGTCGATGCACACGCAAACAAACGTGTTCTTCCTTGCCTTTGCGTATCGTACATCATACCAGGCGTGACTCGGTTTTTTCATGCCCACGGCCCTGACAACTTCTTGGCCTTGTCGAGCGCACTTCACCTGCCGTGGATGGCGGTTTGACATGTTGCGTCTTTGTTGAGCCTACGCGCTTGAGACAAGTTCGCGCCCTTCCCTAGAAAAAAAAAGAACAAAAAGCGCGCTTCAAGTACGGAAAGGTTTAGGCACGCAACTGCAGCAGCTCGAACAACCTAACATGTTCGCTGCGGCCATCCGTCAACCATCACCACCGACGCAGCCACATGTTATCTACCCCCGAACAACAAGGACGAGCGCACCCAATTCGTCTAAATAGAGTGTGCCCTTGGACGAAAAGAACATGGCGACACACACGCACAAAGATCGTAAGGGAAAAAAAACATACAGCGAAAACAGATGATTCCGCCTCCCTCGCCATAGACACACATACGATAAGAGCATGCCGGTACACGCTCAACCTCAAGACAATGTGGGACAGCGTTTCACACCCACACTCCCCTTTCCTGAACGAAGCATGTATGTGCGTCAAAGAACCGACACCAAGCTGATCGCGCGCACTCCATCGCTTCATGCCGGGGGTGGGGCCACTTCACCGACTAAGATCGCGGTCGCTTCCTTCAAGAGCCACTTTGCCATGTAGGCGCTGTTGCCATATTTCGCCGAACGACCGGACCGAACGCTTGGTTGCTCGACGAAGGTGAGCTCCAGACCCTCCTGGGCTATTGATGCAGGCGCCACTGCCGTCGTTGTCGCAGTCTGTTCAAAAGCCCCACTGCCGCCAATGCCACCGTTGCTGCCGCCGCCATTTGACGATGACGTAGGACTTCCTCTGGCGGTTCTATACACCAGGGTGTACCTCGAGTCGAGAGCAATAAGCAGCGCTGCCAAGTCCGCGTCATCCACGCGTCCATCCATTTCGATGCAGCCAAATAGCTGGAAGTGGGGCGAAGGACCTTGTTTTACACCCTTTTGACACCGACGAAAGAGAAGAAAAGGACACGAGCGAGCGGAGCGAATCAGGCACTGACGGGCATTTCTTGAGTTTGGCGTGACAAGCATGTCAGAGCTTCGTAGGTCAACACCCGCACCACCTAGACCCCCAACACCCGCGAGCACGCCTCATGATGGGCTAACTGGTCCTTCGGACAACGAAATCCCCCCATCTACCATTCCGCACCGCCTCATGCTAAAACGAAGCCGATACGGTGCAAAAATCCAAGAACGAAACAAAAAAACCCGTCCGAACCCCTTCGTCTGCGACAGGGTGCTCTATTACCCGGGGGTATCGTAGAAAGCTAGTGGAGCAGTCAACTGCAATGGGGATGGTTGCGGTGCACGCACCGTCTCCTACGCGGCCGACGCCAAGCTTGCACTCACTCTTCTTCTTCGCTCCCACCGTCGCGAACACCACAGCCACGCACGCCTCGCACCGCGCGCGCGCCTCTTGAACCGGGAGAAAGACTTCTCCGAGAGGGCCATACCACGTGCCCCGCGCTTGTGCCTCTCCGCCGTGTCCCACAGGCCGCGCCGAGAGTCTACCGCAAGCCTGACGGGCTTATAGGTTGGCCCACATCTACCACCAGCGGGGGCCCGGGGGCCTCCTCGACCCTTGGCAGTTGGAGCGGCGGAATGCGTGCCACGTGTCGTTTGGGGGGGGTGGGGGGAGGGCAGGAAGGCAATGGGAGGACAGCTGGAAGAAATCAAGACGCATGTACAAATGAGTTATCGTCGGGCATAGACTGACCGGCGAAAAGGGCAAACCGAAACGAGTAGTTAGTATTGGCACTACTGACGTTCGTAGCGACGGGTCGACAGGAGCTTCTTGTGACAGTTCCGCGCGGGCCGCCACACACGTATCTTTGCTTTCGATGCACGCGACGGGGCTGCAGACGGGATCGAAAAATCGCCCACGACGGCAGCGATAGAAGAGAAATATGAGATTGCTGTTGACCTGCGCAGGTGCGCCGCTCTCCGCTCCGTTCTGTCGAGTCTGTACGGCTACCTTGATGTCAGCGGAGGTGGCCATGACGAACACGAAACCCGGCGCTTCCACGGTGAGGACATTGACGGCCCAGGCGCCTACCGGCAGAACGTAAAGAAAGAGACAAGGGCGTAGAACTGGGGATTGCACTTATCGGAAGGGCTCCAAAGCGGCATGCACGTAACCATTGTGCTTGGGCTTGTCCTGCAGAGAAGAGAAGCATGCGATAATCAAAACTATTTCTCGGACACGATAACAGTTCGCAGCAAAGACGCAACCGACTACTGTTACAGGCTTGACTTTCGATATCAGATTTCATCATGAATGGTGCATGCAACCCCAAGCGAAGACGAGAATTTCTGCATCACGCAGGTTACGGTGCCTATCACCAACCCTCACCGAGGCAAAGGTAACTATCATAAACGCCCACGCTGGTCATTAACCCCCCCTGGTCAACAACCTCTGTACCCGAGAGTCAGGGCTGCGCAAGAGGCCCGGTGAAGTTTGGGCATGAAAAACTTAGCAACCCTACTGGGAAAACTCGGCATCGCAGTGCTTCGCACGTCCGCACCGTCCAAAACCATCAGCCCGCCCGCCGAAAGCGAACGCAAGTCGTTTCGTTCTCGCCAACCCACCCAACACCCGCGCCAGGTACACAGAACGTTCAATCCGATCATGGTGTTCGGTGCGAGTGGCTTCACAGGTACTGCTGTGTCATCCACATGATGCAGAGACGCGAACGCACAAGTCACCATACGTGTGGGTATATTTCGTTCAGGTATGTACGGTAGTTCAACGGCTCTTCGTGTGGCACCCCTTACCAGAAGGGGGTCCTCGGTTCACGTCTACGGGCTAGAGCGTCATTCACCTAGGGCTTTTGGGCAATATCCCCGCGGTGATAGGTGCTGGTGTTCGCGGTTCTGTCTATCCTCGTCTGGACCCCCCTTCTCGGTGGCTGGCGAATGGTCCGGGGCTAAGCCTTGACAGCGAGCTACGAGCGGATGAGCGAGAACGCCATCAAGCCGCCCCGAACTGTGCGAGAGGCTCGTCACCTCACTCCCATCACATGTTTGCAAAATTGTCGCAGTGTTCCCCCCGCTCCAAAAGCTGCTGAAACGAACTCCAGTGATTATTAGCATACCCCCGGGCCTATCAAGGTGGCTTATCAGTGGAAGTCCTTCCTAACCGCTGCTTACACACTACAGCACTTGCACCCCCTCCACTGTATCCACACACGATTCATATGCATACGTTAAGTGTATTCAATCTCAAATAGCGCATCATACGTCGAACCCCTTGCCTGGCGACCAACTTTCTTGAGACTGCT